TTTTTTTTTTTTTTCCTCCAGGATGAAAGTCTTTCAGGACCTTAGAGACTAGGAGTGACCCCTCCCACTGTTTAAACATCCAAGCATCCATCGAAATAACAACACCAGCATTTCATCCAGAGGCTGGTGGGCAGCCCTGGAAGAGCCTCCTGCTTGAGATGCTCCCCCAGAATCTTGCCCTTGGCTGACCTTGGCACCCTGGCAGCCAGAACATTCCCAATTATCCATCGGCCTTTTCTTCAGACTGTCTCATCCTTTCTTCCAGACTGACTCCGTCAACTACTTTTATCAGACCACATGATTTCATTTGTCAAAGAAACTCAGCCATGCCAATTCATTAAAGGCCACTTCTCAGATATCAGTCACAGGAAGTGTAAGCCATTCTTTTGATGAGAGGCATGAGGCCGTCTGGTTGGATGGCAAAGGCATTCCAGCATCCTGACACCCCCTGGGGTTCAGCTGTCTTGGGCTCCACACCCTAGCGGTAGTAGGTTCATTGCATATGAAAGAGATGAGAGGTAAGCTCTTCTTCCTAGGCTGGGGCCACTGCAGCTGCTAGCATCCCAGTAACCATAGCAACAATGGACCACATGGCAGGTGTCTGATGTCCATCAGACATTTTCTGGTGTTAAGTGCTCTTCGTCCTTCCATCCAAGCCTCCCTTAGATTCTATTCTGACTGGTGGCATTAAGAGTCTCTCGGGGGAGCAGCTCAGGCCTGGGAGATCGGCAGCCAACTGCATTAATTAAGTCTCTCTTTTCCCCAGAATATTTTGCATTGCCTGGCTCAGGAGCCAAGAGACCCTCCCAGGGCAGTTCTGATGAGAGAGACTGCTAAATAGAGCACAGGAGATGGGGGTGGGGGTTTAAGAAGTACAGTTCCCAGATGTAAACAAATGGAGTTTAGCAGGAAAATATTTCTGGCATACAGCAGGCACATAACTAATAACTGTGGAAAAGTCAATGTAATAAAATGGAGTTGGTATAGAAAATGGAACTCTCTGCAAGCTGCTATAATCCTTAGGGAGATGATCAGATGAGCTACTTAACAATTATTGAGTGTCTGCTGTGTGTAGTCGTGGGTGATGTGGAACCTCTAATTATCGAATTGTTGAATGAATCTCCAATCCACCGGGCATAGAGGGGTTAGGGGGAGCAACCAGGTAGCAAAGGGCTTGGATCTAAGTTGCCCCTGGATCTGTCCATGGAGAACCTTTGAAAGGCTATGTACGTGGCAGTCAGGATCTGCTGTAGGCCTCAGAAGCATCCATTCTGGTAGATGTTGAAAGGATTAGAAAAGGAAGCTAACTGCTTTGAGCAAAGAAATGATTTTCAGCTATACCCAGGCCTTAGGAGAACTGGAGTTGGGGCTCCCTTCCTTTGGAACCTGGCTGCCATGCTGGGAGATTCTCTGGCTACAGGACAGGCCTGTGTGGAGGAGAATGAAGGGTGCCTGCTGAGCTTTCAGGTTGTTTCCTGTGGTGGTCTGGCAGCAGCTGCTACCACTGAGAGTACCATTTGCACAGCCCAGCCCAGCTGGACCCCTGATAACAACAGTCCCGGAAGACTGCTGAGCAGAAACCACCCAGCTGAGCGCAGCCAACCTACAGAATCATGCTGTGTAAAACAAAAAACAAAAAACAAAACAAAAACCAACTGCTCTAAGCCAGGGAGTCATGGTGGTGCTCTGTGTGGTGGGTAAGTGATAAAGTAGGGGGAGGAAAAGGCAGACCCAGGCAGAGATAACACCTGAGGCTAGACAGACAAACGCTGCTGGCGAGGACAATAGCTGCTGGACATCTCCAACTCCAGAGTCATCAGCTGCCTGGAAGCTGTGGACTAATTCTGCCAAGCCCCTTCTCAGAGGCACCCAGAAAGCACACCCAGAGCCTACAAACCACATCTAGTTCTCAGTGACTCAAGCCTTCTGCATCATGAATAGCACCAAAAGCTCAGCTTTCTAGAGCGAAGGCAGTCGTCTTCCTGCACAAACTCTCATTTTCCCTCACACAGTCTCCACGCTGTGAGCCGTGTGCCCCAGAGGCAGCCTCTGATACCACCGGCCTCCGAAGACAACGTTTCCAGTGGCCCTGTGGCCCTTTGGAGCCTCAGCACCCTCCACTATGTAGGCGGTAAGGTCGCTGCCCTTGGGATCAGATAATGCAGCCTTAAGATAACTACCAGAACACAGGACCCTCCAGGCACACTGCATCAGTCAGTCAGTCCCTTCACACCCCAGTCTCCCCATCTCTCTCCTTGTCCACCCCCGCCCCCACATTCCCTTGCCCAGTCTCTGCCTGTCCAGTGTCTGTCCTGTGAAGCCACTGTGAGCCCAGGAAATGAGACACCTCTACTCCTGTGTGCTTGCAAAGCTTGGAGCATCCGCAAAGGGTGAGTAGTTTGAGGAGGTGACCAGCTCTCCAGAATGAGTCCCAGGTCTGGAGAGGGGGATTCCTCCAGTTGATTAACACTGTAACTTCAGGAAGCTCCTAGATCCAACTGCCTGTGTGCGCACACATGTGCACAGAGCATTAAGAATGACTCCATGAAACACCGTGGTTACCCACCTGCCAGTGTATGTGTGTGCGTGCATGTCTTTGTGTGTGAGTGTGTGCACATGTGCGTGTTTGTACACAGAGCGCTAGGAATGGCTCCGTACAACCCTGAGGTTGTCACGTGTGTGTGTCCATGCATGTGTGTTTGCACATGGTGTATCTCTGTATGTGCGTGTATGTATGTGGGTGTCTCTGTGTGTGCATATGTGTGTACATATAGCTCTAGGAATTTCCCAACAGAATCCTGAGTTTATCACCTATGTGCGGGACGGGGGCGGGACGGGGGCGGGGCTGGGGTAGAAGGGAGGGAGAGAACACTAGGAATGACCCCATACAACTCTGAGGGTATCACCTGCCAGTGTGTGTGTATGCATGCATGTGTGTGTGTAAGTATGTATGTATAGGTATATATGTATGTAAGTATGTATGTGTATTTGTGTACGTTAGAGCGCTAGGCACGGTCCTGCACAAACCTGGCGGTAGGAGGCGGGTCACATGGTGGCGAGGAGGGGGTTGCGGTTGACGCGCCTCCGGGTCAGCCTCCGCCTCTGACGTCCTTACAGCCATCCTCCCTCCTGGCTGGCTGCTTCCCCGCCCTCCCTCGGAGTCTGGAGAGCGGCTGGAGCCAGGCGGGAGCGCGAGGTGCAGGGGGCCGGTGGCGGGAGGCGGGCGAGCCGCGGGAAGCAGGCACCATGGTGTTGTCGGTGCCTGTGATCGCGCTGGGCGCCACGCTGGGCACGGCCACTAGCATCCTTGCGCTGTGCGGGGTCACCTGCCTGTGCAGGCATATGCACCCCAAGAAGAGGTTTCTGCCTCGGGACCACGAGCCTGACCCGGAGAAGGCGAGGCCCGGTGTGCTAGAGCCAGCCCAACAGGTGAGTGCAGACCAGGTGGGATGGCCGGGCCACCCTATGTTTTGATAGACAGGGAGGGAGACAGCCGACCAGACAGACCTGCAACTGGGTCGGGGTGGCCTCGAGGATTGCGGAGGGATGTGAAGGAGGATGGGGGATAAGGGCTTGAGAGGGCTGGGAAAGGAATAAGGGTTGGGGAAGATGTGCAGGTTGAAGAGAGACGTGAACCTTTGGAAGGGAGGTGGCTGCAGGGTTAAGGCTCTCTTGGAGGGACACTGGGGAGAAGAAGCCTGCAGAATAGGGGGCAAGGGTAGTGGGGTCTGCCGGAGGAGAAAGGGGGGATTGTGGGGCAAACAGCTCGCTGAGAAATCATCAGAGGGGAGATGGCACCTGTGTGTTTTCACAGCTGGACAGCAGGAGCAGTAGGAATGTCTGGGGGTCTAGAGGCGGCCAATGAGGAGGAGCCTGCAAGACCCTCTCTCCTAGCAGCTGAGCCCCAGCATCCCCTTAGGTCTCTGGAGATTGGAGAGCTTTTATTCCCCTCATCTGTGGTCCTCAGAGCCCCCTGAGCTGGAAATGGGCTCTGGGCTGTGTATTCCAGGCTGGAATGGCAGCAGGGTCTTGGGGATCTGCTGGAAGAGCTTTCTCCATGATCTGTGACCTCCAGAATGCTTCTCAGGTGGAGGACAGTGCTTCTCAGAGAGCCCGAGGAAAGGATGGCCGTGGGTCAGACATGCACCAAGGACCTTCCAGAGTCCCTGATTTTAGCCTTCTGGGAGGATCTTCCTCTCAGCCAGTCCTCCCTTTCCTAGTAAATTAATTATTCAGAACCCCTCCCCCCAGGTCCCAGAGAGGAGCTTGTAGTGAGAGTAAGGGAAATGGCTGCTGTCCTTGAGGCACTTAGAATCCCCAGGCAAGTGACATTGTCATTGGTAAACAGGAGCTGGTGAGTGGTGGGCTGTGAGCCTGGCATGGTCTGGAAGTGGGAACAGTGGGCTCCCCAGTGGTGAGGGTGTGGCCGGCTGCCTTCCCCTCCCATCTGGTGTGTCTGGGAGACACCTGAGGGACAGATGGCATTCTGCCGCCTTTCAGCTGTGACCCTCCAGCTGCCCCTAACTGGGGAGCAGTTACTGTAAACAGCTTTCAGGCTCCCTTCTGACTGTCCTACTGACCCCCACACAATCCTGAGTATCCACCCAAGAAGTGCCAGACTTCCTCTCAGCAACTTAAAAACCCCCCAAACACCTCATTAGAATAAGTGGCAGCAAGCCAGCCATGGTTTAGTCACCACCGCGATGCCTTGCTGGTAAGACCTTTACATATATTTGTGCTTTTAACAGCCCAACTTATAAATTAGAAAACACAGGTTCAGGGAGGGCAAGTGACTCGCTCAAGGCCACACAGCTCTCCCTGAGCTAGTCTGATTTTAGAGTTCTTGCTGGTAGCCCCTCCAGCCAGCGCCCTGCCCCCTCTATCTTCTGGCAGGTGCCTGCCTTTCCAAGCCAGGCTCACCCCCAGTGACTCTTTCTGTAGTCTTTGCCTCTCTGGCTTGATGATGCCCTCCCTTCCCCCCTCCCACCCCCAAACTCATTTTCCACACAGATGGCTTCTCCTCAGCCTTTAGATCTCTTCCTGTTATCTTCCAAGGGAGGAGTTTATTAAACTGGCCCCTGAAGCAAACATCCCTGTGACCGTGTGCCATATCATTCCCTCTAAAGCCTTTATAGCACTCCCTACACTGGCTGTCCTTCATATTGGCCACCGGTATAATATTCACAAACTGGCATTTGTGCAAGAAGAAACCACTGGCAAACAAAGGCACCCAGCCTTCTGTTCCGAGGGATTATGGGTGCAGGGGCTGTGTCTTTGCAGCCCAGGGCTAGTTTTCTGGAGGCTCAGTGACGTCTGCCCATGAATATCTGTTGATAAGTGATCCCCACCTATGTATATGTCTTCTCTGGCTCCCCAGTGCCAGGGAATTTGGCAGCAGAGGCTAAATCAATAGGTGTGAAAATGATGACTGGAGAGCTCAAGGTGTCTTGGTGGCCACTGCGCTCTGATTCATCCACTGACCCAGATAAAGTAACAGACAAAGACAGTGCAGTTGAAAGAAGCCAAGGAGGCAGGCACAGGGTGAGGTGCCTGAGGGACAGTTAGCAAGGCTCATTGAAGACGTTCCTCAAAGAGAGGATACGGTGCTGGGGGGGGGTCTGTACATAACTGGCTTCAACAGAGGTCTTGTGGCTAGTTGTGTCTCACTGAGATCTGGGGGTGTTTGGAAGGTACAGCATCCTTGCTTGTATTTCCAAGTCTCATTGGCTGTGCTGCTGGTGTCATAGGGTAGACCTATGAATCTGAGTGATGCCCCAAAATGGATAAACGAAATTGAGGTTTGTATTGAAAAGGAGCCTGGAGGTCTCCCAGGGCTTAAAAAAATCTCCCAGGCAATTTTTTTTTAAAGGGTCAGAGTCTTGATTAGGGGGAAATGATCATGTTTTCTTGTCACCATTAACCCAGACTGAAACATGGCATTTTCCATAAGTGGGCTATAAACAAAAAAGTGTGAAAGTGTTCCTAATCCCTGTGAGTTTGTCTTCAAGGAAAACTGTAGCTCGTCTGAAACATGATGCTGGGGTTGCAGATACTTCTCCTGTGCTTTATCCCCACCACCCCTCCACTTTTAGTTATGGTGTTTATTAAGGTCCCTGCTCCATCCTGTGATTTACTACATTAATAAAGGACCTCACATGTAGCTCTTCCTGGATAGATGCTATTGACTATTCCTGTACAGCCTATCTACTCTACTTTCTGCTTTTTAAGCATCCTGGAGACAGATCTGACAGCTTCTCTAGATAGGGAGGGGATTGCCACACCAATGATCAGGAGCTCCTGCTGAGGGCCAGGTGCCCTGCTGGCTTCAGGTCACAGGTCACGGTGCTTTGCCCTAGAGCTAGACTCAGGTGCCCCATCATTTGTGTCCAGTCTTTGGGCTGGTGGGATCACTGGGGACACCTCAACCCACCCCAGGAAGTTTGGTGACAGGTGAGCTGTGGTTTGAAGAAGAAATAATCAGGGAGGAGCCCCGAGGGATGTTGCCTCTTCTTCACAACTGTCTCTGAATCTATTCGTAAGCTGCCTTCAGACCCTCTGGCTTCCTTCCCTGGAGTTTCCTCTTCCCAGGTTTCAGGTTTCTGCTGTCCCTTTTGGCATTTGGGGGTGAGCAGAGAAGCTGCCCTCCCCACTGATCACCCTGAAGTCATCTCCTTGCATGACCCTAAGAGGTCAAGAAGCTTTCATTTTAGGGTCCTGTTTCAACTTATATAAAACCGACTTGGCTGTGGCCTTAAGTGGAGCTTCTCAAATAACTTGAGTTCCCAGGGAAGCTGGTAACTATCTGTCCTGACAAATAGGCAACACAGAGCCAGAGACTTTAGTGAACTTGCTTGACCTTCATCAGTGCTCACCCAATTCTCATATCCCCACACCCGCACCCCACTGCCACCAGCGCCCAGCTCACTCAGTTCTTTCTTTCCGTCAGAACTGAAACAGGCTGGCTTTCAACAGAAGCTTAGTTCCAAGTTTTTAACGGGATGAATAAATGTTGAATTGATGTCAAATAACAGATGCAGAGTCGAGTCCTTTCCCCCAAGGTCTGGAGCGTGTCCTTCACTTTTCCCATGTCCCTGACAATGTGTGCTGGGCAGCAGGGCGTGCGATCCCCCCGGATGTGTATACCGAATGAAACATTTTTGTCTATAACAGGGACTAGGAGGGAAAAAACTCAAAGTAGGTCATACAGGCAAGTGCCCATTTACAGGAGACCTGAAGCCAGGCTTAAGGCATGCATGGTGCCACCCCGCAAGACAAGTAAGTGATAGGTTGAATAAGGAATGGGTTAGCCTCTGGACTTTGATCCCTGCTCTGCCTCGTGATGAAAGTGGTTTATCTATATCTGGTTTATTTTCCTTAAAATTCACCTAGCCTATTGTTTGTGTGCTTTTCTATAAGTAGCTGTGTACCAATACGATTTTTATTAAACCAGCTCACTGTCACACTGTGGAAATTATTAAGACCAGGCCAGTACTCTCATAATGGGGGCTTTTAGTACTGAGATTCCCCCAGTACATGGTCCAGCAGAAGCTGCCTCTTGGAGCTATCCATTTGCTACGGTTTCTCTACCTGCAACATAAAAGGCTTGCTCTGGGAACTGGGGCCACAATGCCATCAATGGGGCCCTAGAAACCCTTTAATTGTTCTCTGACCTCAGAGCAGCACCCCCCCCCCAGGCTGCTTGTTTTCATTACACCCATGGGTGAGAGGGGCCAAGCACATCTGTTGCACCACATATTAATCACATCATTCGTTAAAGGTTAATGAGTGCATCCTAGGCACGGCATACAGTGGAAAGCAAACATGCTCCTCTTGAGGAGACAGAAGGTGCAGCCAGCAACTGCTACAGAGCATGTAACCGTGCTGCATGATGGTCAACATTCAGGGAGCCATGAGAAATCCTGAGGAGGAGCAATGCCACCCACAGTCCAAAGTACATCTTTCTCCAGTTCTGAGTGGTTGCTCTCTGGACATCCTTTTGTTGACTCTTAATGACTGAAGGGCCTGTGTATTGCTAATCCCACTCCTGGTACTGATTGGACTCTGGCTGCTTTAAGGGATGGCTGCCATAAATTCTCAGCCTTTTACCTACTTATTGTTGTTGTTAGTTGCTGGTAGGGGGTTGGGGGAGGCTTGAGCCCAATGCTTCCTACATGCTAAGAACATGTGGTAATACTGAGACCACCCAGCCTAGTTCTCAGCATTTTAAAGGCTTCAGCTCCAAGCTTACTGTCAGTAAATTCCCTGACTAGTAACTCTTCCATCCACACAAACAACAATAAAAGACCCATTTCCACAGAGTAGTAGACATCGGGGCTGGCTCTGCATCTACATAAGCTCTTTATATGTACCAGACAATTACATTTTCACAGGTGAGAAATGTGAATCCATAGAGCTTAAGTAATATAGTC